AAATAATTTTGTTTTATGAAAAATATTCAGACACTTCTACCTAATTCGCACAAGCCCCCTTTTCCTTTTTTCTTAAAATTGTCACACGTCCTCACAAATCGTCGGCGTTACTTCATCTCCTCAATTAGCACAATAAGTGCGATCGCAACTTGTATCTTTTGCCATCCACTAGTTATATGTCGATAAGTGAGTGAGGTATAACCTCACTTCATTTCATGCGCCATTTCTCTCGCGCCGTCCCCAAACACGGCAACAAATGTAAAGCGATCGGCAATATCTTGCCGGAAAGATCTTGCTCAGATCTTTCTGACAATATATTGCCCCTACTTGCTCTTGCTAGTGTAAAGATGACCGCAAGAAGCAGAAACAAATTGCTAAGAGATATGGCGGAAACGTATTGCTAATGTAAGGCCAGCATAAGAATACCGACCCTTTCATCTGATTTCGTAAATTACTGTTTTGTTTATTGAAAAAAAAATAAAATTAAATCGTATTTTCGCATGAGCGCAATTATATCTTCCATTATCAACGTAAAAGTTGTCTTTGACATGGATAAAAATCCCGATGTGTGCAAATTGGTTGTACATTACATGGTCTAGTTTACCTCGTTCAAGAAATATTTTGAAGAGGTAAAATACGTGATAGTTCGGACGTACATGCCGCCCCCTCCTAATTCCTAACCCACCGACCGCCACTGGTCCCATGTAAAAGACAGAGAGACCTGCGCGGAAGACCCGCAGCTTATGTTGAATGGCGGCAGTCGAAATTTCGCGTTACATGTTATCTTATGCGCTCGTTTAGACCTGCGCGGCAGGCGACCGTCGCGTCAGCGGATTGACAGCGTTTTCTTACCTGCGGATTTGGGAACGCAGTCGGACGCGTTTCGACGGCTGCTGCTCGAGTTTCGTGGAGGTCCGCCAGCCTCGGGAGTCTTCGCTCCCTTCTGGATAGTTTTCCCCTTGCTTTGATCGAATGAGGAAAACTGTCACCAAACGCTGAGTCATTGACGCTCCGGTGTGAACGATCTCGCAGATTCCGCCGCCGCGTCTGGCGCGGAACGTTCCGCGCCGCACCCACTGCGGATCTCCCTCGCCGGTCTGTGAGAGCCGTAACGCTAGCACAGAATAGTCAGTTTCGAAAAACTTAATTAGAAGCCATTTGAAGCACTTCAACTCACAAATACAATAGTATTCACAAATTGATGAAAATGTGTGTATTAACGGCGTGTAAAATCTTTCAAAAAATGACAATTGTATAATTTTATACGAAATTAAAAATTTACCCCAAAATTAACTTAAGAGTGCAATTAGGACTATCCGTTCGAAAAGTTTGAAGGAAATTTTTTTTTTTAGAAAATGACGTTTGAGCCTTTCTGAAAATGCGCTAGTTTTCACGGGAAACTTGAATTTTCGAGAACCTTTATATGACATTATTTGAAGCACATTTACTCATCAATACATTAATGTAATCAAATTGTCGCTAATGTAAACATTAACCTGAGAGACTAGTGAAAAAAATACATTTTGAAAAAACTAAAGAATAAATCGAAGTAGCGTTTATGTCATCTTAGAGAGTACATTTAATACTCTTATTTCCAAAAGTTTAAAGAAAACATTTGTAGCCGTTTTTGGTAAAATCTTGTTTTTCTAATTTTTTAAAATTGCCCGAAAACTACTAATTCTCAAAAAATGTACATAACCTTTTTGAAAGAACTCACTATGGAGAACAAATTTAATTTGAAACAAAAATCTGTATTTTTATTTTTGTAGTTATAGGATGACTAAAAAAACAACATACTTTTGATATTTTCGAAAATTCTAAGTTAGCCGTGAAAATATATGCCACGTTTATAAGCGTTACTATAGTCGTACAAGAAACTTAAAGGAAAAATTTGGAGCCTTTTTGAGAAAATTTTGAAAATGTCCGCAGGGCTTCATGTAAAATACCCCCAAATTTTGAAGAAAGTTTTTTAAAATCTCAACGCTTCGACTCGAGCCAGATGGACAGCGGTTTCTTTAGTTTGGAAAAAAAATCCAAGGAATAGTTTAGACCTAGTAGTGTTCACAGACGGACGGACGTTTTGAAGGAAGGAAAAAAATAAAATATTTTTGGTATCAGAGGACCCCAAAACGTCTTATTCCGTGAAAATCTCGAAATCGATTTTCAGGATCATTACATAACTTTCCCTATACTACGTATATTACTCCATATATACGTATGTATATGAAAGTAAACTAGTCGTGCTACAGAATGGCACAAACTTTCCCGTATTAGTTTTCTGTAGCTAGCTACTCGAACTTTCTACTTGTCTCTTGCCAAAAACAAGATTTTAAACAGATTGTTCAAAAACAAGTTTTTCTCGAAAACGGCTCCAAACTTCTTAAAGCTTTTAATAGGGATTGTGCTGTATGTACACTATAGGATAACATAAACGCGATATTGCACTATTTTGTTTTTTCAAAAATATCAATAATGTAATAAGCAGGAGAAAGTTACATAATACTGAACGAAAAAACGGCGAAAGTTCGGCAAAAACAAACAACTTATTACAGGGTCCTGACAACGAAAAAGTGAATACATCCAGATTTAGAAAAAAAATCCTCTAGCTCGTAGTTTAGCTGGAATCCATAATTTGTGGGTCGTTGATACCGAAAAATCGATTGGTGTCAAAACGTCTGTCGGTCTGTGAACAACTGTCTCTGTTCACCAGATTTTCTCCAAAATTTATATTTCCAATCGATCTGGCTGATGTCGCTTCCCCATGAATTTGAAACCGATATTTAAATTTTGAGTTCTTACATGAAGCCCCTGGAACATTTTCAATTTTTTTTTAAAAAAATTGCCCCCTCGTCTTTCTTTAAATTTTGTTGTCCTTTGAAAAAGGACGTTTAAAGGAATGGTGCAGGTCTCATTTTCGTTAAAAACTCTGATTTGAAATTGCAAAAGTTACAAGTTCTTTCGGCGTCTTCCTACAACTAAAACATTAAAGACAGAGATATTTTCCCTTAGTAAAATCTGTTCCTTAAAGGTAGATTTTTAAATTCGGGTAATTTTGCGAGAAATATACGAAATTTTAATTTTTTTTTCTCAAACACGACACACATAATTTTTTATGAAATTTTGTTGGTGGATAGTTTAGGGGATGATTAAGAAAATGGTGTAGATCTCATGTTCGTTAAAAACCCTGAATTTTCGAAAATTGAAAAAAATATTGCGTCTTCCTCGTACTACAGTTTTGAAGGTACAATTTTTTTTTCTTAATGAAATGTGTTCAA